CCCCAAAACCCCAAAACCCCAAAACCCCGCAAGATAAACATTGACTTAAATTAGAGATTTTATTCTTCCATAATGTTTTGATAGTCTTTTGAATTAATAAATTATAGTCTATTGTTAACATTAAATCAAATATTAAAGATAAGAAAGAAAGATACAGTCACGAGAATTCACAGACACTATGCATTACTTGTTGCATTCATCCATTCACCCCGTTTTTCTTTGCTTTTTGAGTTTTCCTCTTCTTGACCTTTAATATTTCCTATGCGTTTGATAATTTGATGATCTTTTTTATGTCAGGCCTGATTACTTGAGCATCGATTTTCCTTTTCTTTTTGATCTTCTTGGAATCTAGGTTCTTAGCACCTTCTTGCTTTATAGCTTTCTGAAACTCTTTTTTAGTCATATTAAGGACATTCTTGGCTTGTTTTAGGCTTACAAATCTGCCATTAATTCTTAGCTTCTTATCTGCTTGTTTTTTCTTCTTGGCATATTTAGTCTGCTTCTCTAAAGACTTTCTCTTCCTTTTCTCCCAAAATGCTCTAACTTTTTAAAATCTTTCATTGATACTCAAATTTCCAATCATAATATTCTTGACTTATTATTGATCATTGATTTGTTAATTACCATTTTGAAGTTAACTTTGATTGGCTGAGGTAAATTGATGATTGCTTTAATTTGAACTATTTGAATGAGCATGTTTTAATGAATTAAATTCGTCTGAGTTATTTTACCTTATTTCCTTTATGATAGGAATCTAAAATGTATGCTGTGCTTAATGGTCTCTGAAAAATTTATTTTATCTTATTCTTAAGTTTGATTATTAGAGTTAGCCTTTATTAAGATAATTACTCATTTAGTCTTAATTCATTCCCTCTTTGTGTTCAAGCTCTCTCTATATTCTATTTATTTGTTTAATTTTGATTTCTTGAGGTGGAGACTCTTCTGGAATCTGCTATCCTCTAGAATTAATACTGCTGTTTCTGTTAGTATGAAAGGATTCGAGACTCGATTCCTCTCCTTAGTAGTTATCTTCAATTTCGTCCAGATCTAGTGCAGTTTTTCTCAGAGTAAGGCGGAATAACCCATCTTGATCTTAGAGCTTGTTTCCAAACTTTAACCTTAAGTTTCTATTGCTTCTTCTTAAAATGTTTTAAACTGGTGTCTCACCAGATTTCTTAACTTTTTATTTCAATCCCTTGATTATTCTTGGATAAACTTCAAGAGCAGGAGAAGTCTCAGGAGTTTTATGTCTTTTGACATAGCATTGAGATTGAGTCTTTACGTAGCCCGATTTATCTACGAACCATCTTCTTTGCATTGTTTGATTCATTTGATTTTCTAATGTTGCTTTTTGCTTTTAATACAACTCTTCGTCATCCTCAATCTGAAACCTCACATTTTTATTTACTGAAGTGTTTAGTTATGAACTGTAAGAATCCTGCACACTGATATTGCCCTTACAAGAGGCAATTGATGTCTTCACTGAGTTAATTGAACTTGGTCCCTTCTTGAAATTTAGGTTTTGAGGAACATGGAATCCTTAGCCATTTGGTACTCAGAAGTATTGATTTTAATTATTATTGAGACCACTTAGTGTCCATGACATTTCTTGGAATTCATTGAGTGATGAAAGATCCGACAAGTTACTGCTTTTAATTAAATCTTTTCCAGCATAGCTACCTTGCCCACCATAAATACTACCTCCACATTCACTACCTTTGATAGACTTCCTTCCACAACTGCAAGTACTCATTTAATCTTCCATTATTAAAGTCCTAATGGTTTTCTTTTGAGAACTTCTTTACTAGCATTCACTACCACAACAACTACTCTTAGTTGCTGTTGTAGTTGTTGTAAATGTTGTAGTGTGCTTGAAGTGATTAAAGCATTCCTCTTCTTAGGATTCTTATATCAGTTTCAAGTTTTGATAGTTTAGCTTAGCGACCTTTTTCATAAAGGCCTTCTAAGTTTGATTGTAATTTTACTATTAGGGTGATTAAAAGGTTTGTTATTAAGTTTGAATATGACTAAATTAAGACAGTTAGTCTTAACAAGGATATGATTCGAAACCATTTTAATTGTGTGGTTTACGGCAAAAGAAGCAGTAGTAACTTGGAGCTTCCATTTCTAGATCTCCTTAAACAGACCTGGTATCTGCATTAGGAAATACAGCTGATCCTGTGTCTGATTATATTTCATCCAGTTCGTCCTACTCGTCCATGATTGCATCTGCTTACTGAATAGAATCCTCATCATCTCCATCTTATTCCTCAGAAAGAATATCCTCTTTGAAAGAATAGGCACTTTTAGTACTGCAGGTAAATGTACCCTTGCTAAATCCAATACGATCAAGTTTCCTCAAAGTTGATTGGAGGAGCTGATTGCTAGAGACATATTGCTGCTGCTAATTAGGCACATCAATCTTTTCCCTAAGTTATTCCTGAAAATTCTGATGATAATATGACATCTACTGAACATCATATTCATTTTGGCATTGGTAAATTGAATTTTGCTCATTAAAATTGCTGTTTTGTTAATGCCAAGTTTGCATGTTAGGTGAAAAGTTGCTGTTTTAGTAACCGCTATTGTTGAGGTTCGTCTAGTACTAATGATGAGCATTGTGAAAATTTTGATTAATCATATTCTACTAATTTATGTTGTTTTTACTTGACGGTGATAGTAATGAATTATTTAGCTTATTAAATGTGTTCAGGCTGCTTTGCTGAAAATCATCTTCAAATGAAGGTTATTAGTCCTCAATGTCATAATACATTTTATCGAAGTTATCTATAGTTGGATGATAGATTAATGTGTGTATCTTACTGTTTTTAGGGTTGGAGGTAAATAAGCAGCCTAGTTTTTCTAAATCGCCACAGGTGCTAGAATTATCTTGATTATTGTGAAAGCCATCTCCATTCATTGAAAGACGCTCAAACGTGTTGAAATCATCATCATTGTTTGAATTGGAAAGAGTCGAGATGGTCTTGACAGAGCCGATCTTGAATTTGATTATCTCCGGATAATGCGGATGTCTAATGAAATTTTCTCTTCTCATATTATGATTGATTTGCAATCTTATTGAATTATTTATTATATTGTAAAGAAATTTAAATCAATTAAATTTCATCGAGCGGGGTTTTGGGGTTTTGGGGTTTTGGGG